CCGTCCCTTAAGGAAGGAAGACATGGCTTGGGCCCACAGTACATAATTGGAACCATTAAGAAGAATAGAAATTGGATGGGAGGCATCATGGCGATCCATAATAAAAGTGTAGTTGAGGGTAAATAAAGAGGAACAAACTTGTAAGAGCAAAATTAGGTAAAACAGAGTGTACCAATGAGTCCGGAAGGTCGAAAATAGCTGAGAAAGAGGGTCCTATGTAGAGATGATGTTAGTAGAGGAGAGTATGGAGGGGGAGTGCCATGTAGACATTCAAATGGAGTCGTACCGTAGCAAAACAGCGCACGCGCGGTGCACAAAAGCAGAATGATGCACATGGGTGTACAATAGCGGAATGGTGCACACGCAGCATACAAGAGCAAAACGGCGCACGCGGGTGCAAAGTAGCAGACGCCGCACGCTAGGCGCACATAGCAGGCGCAGCGCACACAAACACGTGAGGGTGGTGGCGGAAGCTGAGACACGCCGAACACAAAAGTGGCGTGACAACGATTCTGGTGATGGGGAGTTGGACCGTTGGAATCGTGAGATGATTCCGAAGAGGTTGGTGTAGTGCCCCTGTGTATGAGACTAAGCACCAAAAATAGAAAATCCCAGAAGTGTAGAACTTTGCTCTAATACCATGTTAACATGGTAGAGAGAGAGAGACTGAATAAATTGTATATTGAATATGTTCAGTAATTTACAAGGAGCAGATCACTCTCTTTTATAGAGAGGAAAGTATGACACATAGGATGCTAACATTGAATGTAGAAAGTATACAACATCATTAGTATGACAGTTATATATTACACTATATTACACTAACACTATTAAGGGCATTTTTCTTACCAAATCAGTTTTCAAGGTCATCCATGGCTCCAGTAACAATGAGGATACACATCAGGGGTGGACAAACTTATAGAAATGTTCTGCTCCTAATAGATGGAAGCACTTTGCTTGGCTTGTGCGCCATGACCGAGTGCTCACAAATTTAATGAAATGTCGCCGTAATATTAGAATGACTGCTGAATGTTCCTTGTGTGATGCATCCTTGGAGACTCCCCTTCATGCCATTAGAGATTGTGATCTTTTGCAAAAAGTCTAGCAACAACTTATACCCCCTTCATATTGGACTTTATTTTTTTCTTTACCCTTGTGTAAATGGGTGGATACAAACCTGGGGTCTCCTCTTTGGCCCAATCCTTTTGGTGATGATTGGACATTGACTTTCATGGGTACCCTCTCCACTCTCTAGTTGTGGCACAACAAAAAAATCCATGACTCCGAGTTTATCCCTCCAGCTTGTCCCATTATGTTTATTCATAAGCAAATTGCAGAAGTTGTGGTAGCTAAAGCTTTGGGCACTGTTCGGCGACAAGAAGCATCCATTGTTATAAGTTGGACATGGCCTTCCTCTAACTGGGTGAAGTTGAATACTACTGAGTCAGTGCTTGGGCTGATAGGCCCAGCGGGTACGGGATGACTCATTAGATCAGAAACAGGAGAATGGTGTGTGGGCTTCCAACACTTCATTGGTGAGACTGCGGCAATAGCTACAAAATTGTAGGCCGTATATTTGGGACTCCGTCTCACTTGGGAGGAGGGATTTCGATCCATCATTGTGGAATCGAATTCCACTGTTGCCATTCACGCTATCCAGAGGCTAGAGAAGACTGATCTGAATTTTAATCTCTGCCAACAAGTTAGAGCTCTAATTGACAGGGATTGGTGTTGTCATCTTCAGGTTGTATGGCAAGAAGGAAATAGCTACGCTGATTGTTTGGCCAAGTCTGCTAGTAGGCTCCAAAAAGATACTAATGTTAAGTTGTGCAATCCACCCACTGCAATAGCTGCTATATTAGCAAGTGATTTGTGTGGTGTCGGCTCCGTGTGTAGAGTCATCTTATAGTTTTTGTTTTGGTTTGTTTTTGCGCCTTTGTCTCGACAAATACCAATAACAACAACAAAAAAAATCATATTATTATACACCCAGTAAAGGAATATTACAAAATTAACTTACAGGTTATTTACAATGCTTGGTGGGTAAACGGCGACGACGATAGTAGATAATGGTGATGTGAAATTTTTGAAAAACTAATGAAGAGAGATAGAGATACAAGAGAAGATAAAATTATTTTATAAATAATAATTTAATGAGGACAAAATTTATTAGTGCATTAAAAAAAGTCAATAAAGAGAAGATGAAATAATTTTAGAATAATGCTATATGTATCAATTAATGTAATAATTAGCAGTGGCAGAGTCAATAAGGGGCACTTATTGATTGCAACTTTATTTTTTTTTTCCCTAACCAACAATAAGAATATAATAATAATTTTTGAATTAATATTAAGTACAAAAATTTAAATAAATTATTACACATAAAATTTTACAATTAATTTCGAGTAAAATCGAAAAAAAAGTATTGCGTGTAACTAGTGTATCATGAACAATGTAAAAAAGTAATATATTTAAGTCTTAAAATAAATTATATAATAGTAAGATAAATAATATTTTGACAAAATTTGAATAAAAATCTCATATAATAGTGATATCACGTTATTATTGACATATGATATCACCAACCAATAATAAACAACATATGAAGTGGGAACTCTACATGCAAATATAACCAATGCTCTAGTCATTTTTACATATATATAGTGAGATTAATTATATTTGCATATCAATAATGATAGATATTACCTTTATATTGAGATTTTTTTTTACAGATTTTTCATACATAAAACTATAATTTGTTATAGTCACTTCATTTTCAATAAAACAATCACTATTGTTTTCATAAATTTAAAAATGCCCTGGACATTTTATTTTAAATATTTTGTTTTGTTTAAAATTTGATCATATGCATATGTAAAAAAAAAAAAATCCAAGGGGGGACGTGGCCTTCTTGGTCACATGGTGGCTCCGCCACTAATAATTAGTATACTAACAGATGATATGGTATAATCTTAGAGATTTTAGATATTTATAATTTGTATAATAGGTGGGGTCAGTAATAATGAAATAAACTAGTTGATATACTAATGTGTACATTAATTGATGTATGTAGCACCACCGATAATTTTATAAATAATAATTTAACAAGGACAAGACTTATTAGTGCATTACAAAAGTAAATAAGACTTAGGTCTCGTTTAAGAACATACTATTTTAGAAATTTTTTAGTTTTATACGAAAATATATTCAAAAAAATAGAGAGAGTGATGTGACAACTTATAATTTTATTTTTTTTACTTTTTGGTTAAAATATTTAGTTACCAAACGAGATCTTAATGATATTTAAATCTATATAATGAGACTAGTTGACATTTAAGGCATGTTTATTTGGACGGCTTAGATGAGGGGATTGTAATCTATTGGATTGTTAATTTTGAAATACATAGTTTTTTATTATTTTGTTGAAAATAATATGTATCACATATTTGTTTTATCATGAGATAAATATCAAAAAATAACTATTTTTGAATTTTAATTTTTTTCACAAAACTAATATTTTATTTTTAAAAAAATTAAATTAAATTCTAAAAATTAAACCAAACATGTTCTAAATATTGGGAGGAAAATTTTGGTTAAATTATATTGACATCTCACGAAGTTTGGTCAAATTACATTCCACCCCTTGATGTTATGAAAATTACATTTTCATATTGTGGTTGATAGTCTCATTTCACAAACCCTTACTTTATATAAAAAACAACAACTCCTAATAGAAAGAAAAAAAAAAAAAAGGAGGAAATTACATTGAAAAAAATAAAACAAAGGAAAAGAAGAAGAAAAAAATAAAGAAAATAAAACAGAGTAAGAAATAAGAAAGTACATGAGTTCAATATCGTCATTCTGTTTAAATAATTACAATAATAGGAGATTAATATAATTTTCTAAACATAATAGAGTGATATGTATTAAATCCAAATATCAAATAGTGTAAATGTAATATACCGATTATTTTTTTATTAGCTAATCTAAAGAAGTCTTGTCTAAGAACTGTATATCCCACCCATCCGATCAACTATTTAGGTATCGTTTTGGGAATAAATTATTTTAATAATTTTTTAACATTATACAAAAAAAAAATGTAAACAAATATAAAAAATGATATGAATTTTTAACATTTTAAATAAAACATGTAAATACCAAACGAACTAGGAATGACAACGGGACGGGGCAGGGCCAGGGCCAGGGATCACCCTCCCGTCCCCGATCCCCGAAGCTACAAACTTCCTCGTCCCCGGCCCCGATCCCCGATGACGAACCCCTCACCCCCCCGACCCCGCCTCCAAAGGGGATCGGGTTTCCCCAACCCCGGAAAATCCCTGTAACTCTCTCTCTCTCTCTGTTTAGCTTTCTCTCTCAATAACAAATTATCATCAACAACATCATCGATTATCAACAACAACATCATTGATCATCAACAAAAACATCATAAAAAAAAAAATAGAGACAGATCTGGCGAGAGGGAGGAAATCGATGGTGGCGGTGGCGGGATCTTTTTAGATCTGCCGTGGCAGAGGGAGGAGGAGGCGAAAGGTGACGGAGTATGAAGGTTTGATGGTGGCCTGGTGGAAGAGGAGCCGACGGAGGACGAGGCCGCGAGAGGCGACGGAAAAGGAGGCGGTGGTGGACTGGAGGAGTCAACTGCGTCTGTTGAGAGAAGAGAAGAGAGAGAGAGAGTGTGTAAGAGAGAGACAGATCAGAGAGAGGAGCAACTGTAGTGTGAGTCAACCAAACCCTAAATACATATATATATATATATATATAAATCGGGGCTAACCAGAGCGAGGGGCGGGGCCGGGGCCAAAGATGAAACATGTATCACCGTCCCCGACCCGAATGTCACAGTGGATTTATTTTTGAGTACTATCCCCGGCCCGTCGAGGGATATTTTTTTTAAAAAAAATCACTTTTATCGAAAACAAGGGGCGAGTCTCCGTCAATCCGGATTTAAATTGTCATCTCTAAAAGGAACCATAGTTTACATTTTTTTCAACCAAACAACAATCTAGTCCAATTCCCATTTCAATTCTACAAACAAACACCCACTAAGCTGACCAATCTCTAGCCTCTCTTCCTCACATGGGCCACTACAACTGTTCCCAAATCCTCCCCAGTTCCCTTTTCTTCCCCAAGGTATAATCACCATCCTTACACCCCCGTCTCTTTCACTTTCTCACTGCAAATTTTCCTTTTGTTTCCCGAGAAAATCAGGGAAAATAAAGTAAAGTTCTCTCGGAATACACTGAACAGCAATGTTGATTTATTTATTTACTTATTTCTATCGATAATCATAAAAGGGGCTAGTTTATTTTGCTTTTGACTCAATTTGATTGTTGGTTTGTATACATGAGCGTGTAAATGTACTTAAAAAGCTTTGAATTTGGATAATTTTGTCAGAATTGTTCGCCACTAAGCGCAACCCAAGTTTCCTCAAAAGGGTTTGGTCAATCTAGGGTTTTGGGATACTTGTTTGCAAATTCAACAATTCACCAAGTACCTTGTATTGTTGCAATGCAAGAAGATAACACTAAGTTAAGAATTCCGCATGTTCTGACTGTTGCTGGTTCTGATTCTGGAGCTGGTGCTGGAATTCAAGCTGATCTCAAGGCTTGTGCCGCCCGTGGAGTGTACTGTTCCACTGTGATCACAGCTGTCACTGCTCAGAACACCATTGGAGTTCAGGTCTGATAGCATTTTCAAACACCCAAAACCATAGAGACGAAGAGTTATTGTTTGAATTTTTTATTTTAAAGTTTGTATGAATGTTCAAGCATGTAATTTCGTTGTCAGGGTGTGAACATGGTGCCCGAGGATTTTGTTGCAGAGCAATTAAAGTCCGTGCTGTCTGACATGAATGTTGATATTGTAAGTCTGATATCAATGATTGGCAAGTGTGTTGATTCATTTGAATTGTGTAGATTTGTTTGGTTTGTCTTTTATTGCATTGCACCCATTGGCTATTGATTCATTTGTAAGCAATTCAGTTGTATTGTCAAATCTATTGAGTTTCGCGCTTACATGTTAGGCATACAAGGTTCTTGTGCAGTAGAGACTAGAGTATTGAATCCGTACCGTGATTTACATGATAAGAGTTTAGATAGCAGCACCTAGTTCTTGGCTTAGAATGCATTTACATATAAATAATATAGATATAGATGTATTGGCATGGTAAATTAGTAAAACCTACAATATGCATGCAACATGGACATCACTCCTGAGTTAACATTATTTTGTGGATATTATTGTAAGTGTTGAGTGTGATGTAATATGTAATGATGTTAGGTGAAAACAGGCATGCTTCCTTCCATTGGCATAGTGAAGGTTCTTCATCACTGTCTCAAGCAGTTCCCAGTTAGAGGTATGTCATGGTACTGTTTTCCTGGTTGCAATTGTAATAGTTTTTGAGTCGACTTAATTGAACCTTTGAAGGCAGCTTTAGTCGTTGACCCTGTAATGGTATCTACAAGTGGAGATGTACTGGCTGGACCTTCCACACTTATGGAATCTTTAGTGGGTTTTGATGAGGGCAGAACAGCATTGACATCTGAAGAAGGTGGAGTGCTTGCAGTGGTCGAAGTTCTGGAAAGTGGGTCTCTTCAAAGCCGTGAGCACGCAGTGGATGTGTGAGGCTTCCTCACCAGAGTGTTTCTCTCCATTGTTACTTGGAATCCAAAACAAACCAATACTTTGCCTTTCTTTCTTTTTCTCTTCCCTTTTCCAACCTTCTCCACTCATTTATTTTATTATTATTTTGTACAAATCCAACCCATCCTTTTTCTTTTTCATTCTTTCCACACACTCATGTTCCCCACTCAACTTTTTTACTCCATCTTTTGAAAAGCAACCAACACACCCGCCCACAACTTTAAATCTCCCATTTCTTTTTTAATTTTTTATTACTTTCACATTCACACACTTCTCTTCAATTTTCTTTTCTTTTAAAAAAAAAAAACAAAAAAAAACAAAAAAAAAAAAAACAAAAACAAAAACAAAAACAAAAAAAGACGCAGGAAGATCTGCACACCAAACTCATTTTATTCATGTCAGGGCTCACCCCGATCACCATGTTTCCACATACAAAAAAAAAAAAAAAAAAAAAAAAAAAAAAAAAAAAAAAAAAAAAAAAAAAAAAAAAAAACCACCCACACCCAACCACCTCATCCAGAGGCGGGATTTTTTCTTCTCTACTCTGCCGCCGGTCTTTTCTTCTTGCCTCCGTCCTGGGCGGCCCTTGACGGTGCTGCCTCTGTGTTTCCCAC